CAAGAGCACTCCCATTGGATGCTGTCCTGCCTGGATGCGACTCTAGGAACCTAGTCATGCATTTTGGGACCATGAGGTCTTGTAACCTGGAGTATAGGGTTTACACCCTTGGAAGGACAAGCTGAAAAATGAAAAGAACCTGAGTCCCTTCTCCTGTGGTTGAGTCACTGAAATAACCCTGGAACTAACTCAGCCATCTCTTGTTCTGTGAAATAACGTATTTTCCTCATTATTTACGATATTTGGAATTCAGTTTTCTGTCCTTGCAGCCTAAAAAAGTTCTGAATTTGTTCATCAATGCTGAAAGTTTGTTCTTTAACTACAGTAGAGTTTCTTTTTTCTTTTCAAGTAATTTTGATGTAGGTAATTTACAGCTGTTGGGATTACTCTGAGGCAACTCATACATGGGCTGGGAGCCTCGGCTTTTCTAACTGTAAAAGAGGAGAATGAGTCATTAATTTATTTGTTCAACTACAAATATTTATTAAGCACCTACTGCATTCCCGACCCTGTTCTAGGAGCTGGGAATACACCAGTGAACAAAAGAAACACAAATCCCTGCCCTCATAAGATACATAAAATGAAGAAAGCAATATGTTAAACAGTAAGTTCTGAGGAGAAAAAAATCAGGAAAGGAGGATATGAAGTGTCCAGTGGGGAGTTAAGCTTGAAGTCTTGGATAAGATGGCCAGTGAAGGCTTTACTGAGACGATGACTTAATTTCGTAAAGAAATAAAGTGAAGGAGTTAGCCACTTGGATCTCTGAGGAAGAGTATTTCAGGCACTGTAGCCAGCAAGTGCAAAGGCCCGGAGGTGGGAGCACTCCTAGCACATTCACAGAAGGGTGAGTGAGAAAGGTACTGCGGACCTCTATCAGATAGGGCCTCTAAGGGCTTTAGTGTTTACTCCAAGCGATAAGGGAAACTTCGTGCAGAGAAGTGACATGCTTTGACTTATATTTTAACCAGCTCATTCTAGCTGCTGCACTGAGAGTAAACAGAAGAGAGACAAGAGACCAGTTAAGGGGATATTCCAATAGTACAGAGAACACAATGGTGGTTTGGCCCAAGCAGGGGGCATGGCAACAAGTGGTCACATTCTAGTCATATTTTGGGGGTAGAGGTGACAGGATTTCAAATACAAAGAGAGGAATTAAGAAAGACATCAAGATTTCTGGCCTGATCAAAGAAAGAATTGAGTTGGCAATTCTTGACATATGGAAAGACCTAGAGGGGAGCAGGTTTTGGCACAGACTATCAAGAGCTCAGTTTTGGACATTTTATTCTGAGATGCCTATTAGGTCTCTACTGTAGATTTCAAGCAGGCCGTTGCATCGACATGTTTGGGGTTCAGGGGAGCCATCCAGGCTGGAGACACATATTTGACATTAATACAATTTAAAGCCATTGAGATTGGGTGCAATCATCCTGGGAGTGAGGGAAGATAGAAAAAAGAACAGTTCCAAAATTCAGAAGTCAAGTTGAAGAAAAGGGACCAGCTGGAGATTGGGAAGGAGCATCTAGAACAGTAGGAAGAAAATCAGGCAAATGTGTTGCCTGACAGATAAGAGAAAAATGTGTTTCAAGACTGAGACAGTAAACAGCTGTGTCAAAGGCTGCTGAGAGATCAAGCAGTAAAACGAAGACTGAAAACCGATCCTTGGAATTAACAACATGGTGATCATTGGTGACTTTGGGAAAAACTGTTTCATGGAGTGGTAAGGGCAATTGTTGTGGGTTTAAGAGACGGGGGAGGAGAGAAAGTGCAGACAGCAAGAGCAGGCGGCCCTTTCCAGGAGTCTGGCTATAGAGGAAAGAAATGGGGCGTTGGTGGGGTATCCAGTATAGAGCAAATGATTTATGACGACAGGGTGAGGTGGGGGAGCTGGTAGAGCAATACCTGTGAGTAGGTGTGAGCAGGGTAAGTATTGGCCTTTGACAGGTGCATGAAGTATTCATCCACAGCAACGGGAGAGAAGGCAGGGTGTGTAGACAGATGGAGAGATCAGACAGTTCTGACGGTGAAGCCAGAAGCAAGGTCCTCAGCTGGGTGAAGAGAGGGGAAGAAGTGTTGGAGGGGGAGGAAAGCCAAGTCTGCACTAGTTGGTGGAGAGGGGAGAGAAGGGAGCTGGGAAATAGGATTCCTGGGCAGCCGTCAGGACCCCTGTGAGGAGATGAAGGGACCATGAATCTACAGTGAGACCTATCAGCAGGGCTCTGTGCTTTCCTCCAGCCACAGGAGTGCGCGCAGGGCCCAGGCAGACGGGTGGATGTAGCCGTGCTTGTGGATGTCCAGATGAGGGAGAAAGGAGAAATAAGCAAGGCCGTTAAGTTCTAACGGCTTTGAAAACAGCTAATTTAGATTAAGCCCGGACTCTATTATGTGTTATCAACCGAGTCAGGCCTTGGTGGCCTTATGGTAAATCACCCTCCTCTGCCAAGCCGTTTCTGATCATCTAGGTGTAGATAGAACGTCTCAGGATTTGTATAAATAGTTCACAATTTATCCTGCACTGCCTATATAAACGTAGCAGTAAAAATTACCTGACAGTTCTTGGACATTCAAGACTTAGAGAACAGGATAAAATCAAATAATTTTACCTGAAAATAGCAGCTGATCTTCCTTTAATAAATCAAATAGTACCTAATAAAAATTGTGCGCTTTGGGTTCATTTTAGTGGATCTCAATTTTCTTGTTAAAATGAAGTTAAAATAATCATGGGCACTTTAGCTAGAGAGGCCTAACAGGAAGACGACGGCCAGAGAAGTCTGGTTTAGGGACGCTGGGAGCATTCCTACAAACCAAATGCCCAACCTGTGCAATGAGGCCCGAGGAGCCAATAGAGGTGCCCCCTGACTTCAAGAAAAAGGTCACAACTCCAGTGTCCACAGGAGCCAGCAGCAATCGCCAAGAAGGGAAGCATTTGTGGGTGGGGGGACGGCAGAGCACTCGCTCCTCCCTAACAGAGGCATCGGCTTTTCTGACTGTTGCCACAGTGAACACAGATCCAGTGCGGCAGAATCTTATAATTTTTCAAATGAATTAGGCAAGAAATCATGACTTTTATATAAAATATCCAATTTCAAAATGTTGGCTACATTAAAAAAAAAAAGGCTAAAATCATTCTTAACGAATATACCAGAAATTTCTGACTTCTGTTGCAAAGCAGTAAAAGCCTTTAAAATGCAAATCCTTCTGGGGTAAGAGTAATACTTCATCTCATCAATATTTCCTGCTAGAGTCTCCGGGAGAAGATGTCAGCGTGCTTTTGAGAACTGGTTTTGTTTGATAAAGCAGGAATCCTGTACGAACTCAGTGCTGCTGTCTCAGGCCGCGGTGGTTCATGACGGCTTATTGTTCAGATCATGGACACATGGTCTAGAATGCTGATGTTCGTTATCATCTTGTCATGTATGCTCACTTTTATTTGACAAAAGAGACCAGGAAAATAGTGAAACGTTCAGAGAAGTCAGTAGAATTTTATTTAATGAAATCACTCAAGGGTTGTGCCTTCTATGTTGACTCTTAACATTATATATAATTCTTTTATTTATACACAGATTCAAAATTTCAGTTACTTAGGATTCCTTGAGAATTTTCCTACAATATACTATCTACTCCATTTCATTTTCCCTACTTTTGGCTAGATGACTAACTCACTCATTATTTTTCATCCTTCCGCTGAGACATTTGGATATGAATATATCCTCAGTGATACCTACGTAAAGAGAGCAGCTCATAGCAAAACAAGTTATCTACTCCTCTGAGTAAGGAATAATAAGAATGGGAGTATTAATATCGGTGATTAGAACTGTCATAGCTGCTACCATTGAATATTATCTACCATATTATTCTAGGCACTCTACCCATTATCTCTCACACTCACAATATCGTTATTAATTAGTATGTTTTTTTTCTCATTTTACAAATACGGAAACTAAGGTTTGGATGGAAGAGGCAACTTGCTCAGAGTGCCAAAGACAACAGCGACAGAGCCAAACATGAAATCCAGGACTATCTGATTACATCCTTAGGTTCCCACTTACGGTTTGGCCACAGTTCAACAACTATTAACAACTTGTCCCTTCCTGGCCCTTGCATGAGTTTTGGAATACAAATACACAGTTCTTGCCTATAGAAACATTATACTCCAGTAGAGGAGACACAACTAAAGATGTATCTTCAAAACAATGTGGTTGGCGGGAGAGGTACACACAAACTACTACACAAGTATTGAGGGAGCGAGAGCTCGCACGCAAGCTTTGAGCATGGTCTAGGAAGGTTTGCTGGAGGTGATGATGTTCTGCACTGAATTTTAAAGAATGAGTAAGAATTAGGGTGAAGGAGGGGAAGAATATTCTAGGTAAGAAATATGAACAACATAAACAGATGTGTGGTGCTCTTAGTACACTGGAAGAAGTTGAGTACTTCTGTACACCCAAGTTCAAGTTGAGGAGTAGGAGGAGGTGAGGTGCTTTCCTGTATATTGGAGATGATAACACTTGAGTGTTATATGGTCAGATTAGGGTTAAAAATGGAACCTAGCAGCCCTCTGACGGATGGATTGGATCACACGTTTAGAAACTTAGGACTCTTAATTGTTTTTAACTACTTTGTCCTGAGAAAAATTTTCCTTGGAGAGACCATTTATTTTGTGCATACAGTAAATTAACACGCCGTGACAACCATGTGCATTCTTGAAAGGAAGCACAGGTCAATACCTTCATCTTATGTCAAAGGTAAATCGTTATGTACTGATGAGACCATAGTAGGACACACTGCCATGGGCACCGGCCAGCATCATGCATGCATAAATATAGTACCTCTTCTTAAGAAATAAAGATGGACGCATTGTCAGCAGAAATCACAAATTTATTAACTCTTAAATATACCAATCAGTCATTTACCATTGTGGCAAGAAATATATACAGTGTCCCATGGTAAACTGCAGTGTTTCAAAATGATAGAAGATAACGTGTAATTCAATTGTGGTGGAGAGAACAAATCACAATTTCCTCACGTCTTAGTGCGGAAGACAAACTTGATCTATGGTAATAGTTCAACACCACATGCTAAGTTTAAAAAAAAAAAACACTCTATACCTATTTTTTAAAAATACATGTATGCCACGTATAGCCGCTTCACAAAAAGGTAAAAGAAATTAAAAAGGGAAAAATGAGGCCATTACTGTTTCACAGATCTCATTGGCAGGTTAACATGGCTCAATACATTTACTGTATATATTTATTTTAAATATATATTGTCTTAAATCGTGTAATAATTATCAGAAAAGCTTCAATCCATCTACCATACATCCACTAGCAACAATATCTAAGGTGATTAGTCACCAACACAGAAAGGTGAAATGAGAGAAAAGAGGGAGGAGGTTTTTTTGTCGTTTTTGTTTTTTGCTTCCGCTTTAAAAACAGGCTTCTGAGGATGGAGAGTTACCATTGTTAACGTAATGCTGATGAAGGAACCATGCACTAGAGAGCGTTTCAGGGGGGAGAAGCAGCCTCAGAGCAGGTGAATCAACAAAGGAGAAATGAGGAGCACAAGAACACCAGCACGTTTCCCTTTTCTTGTTTTTCAAACTGGAAAATGCTCACTTCTTGCAGGAAAATAATGTTACTCTGACGCAAGAGAGAAGCTAAAAGAGCACAAGTCATAAAGATCAAGATCAAAACACTTATGAGAATGGAAAACACTCGCAGGCCTCTCTAACTAGAGAAAACCAGCCAGTGATGGTACAGGAGGGCCCATGCCACGGGGCAGAAGGAAGTGCATTTGTACAAAACCCCCGATCTACCACCAACTCGGGTTCTCTGGCAACTGCCCCATCAGGAGGACACGCTGCAGGTATAGTAGGTTTTCGTAAGCTGAAACAATTCTAATACCTCCAACATGAGTTAGGATCCCTGCGTCCAAACTAGAGCCTAAACAGAATTGAAAACCTTTAAATCTTGACAGTTTTTTGTGGGCCCTGAAGATCACAAGTGCTAGTTTAGCTACCTCCGAAAGGCCTTTTTATTTTACCATCATTATGTAAATTTCACTTTTTCTCACAAACTACTAGACAAAAAGAAAAAAGAGAATGGAAAAAAATAAAAAAGGAAGCAAACAAAAGGAACAAAGAGATAGGATAAAATGAAAACAGAGCACAGATTTGAGAAAGGAACAAAAAATTCAATTCCGCGAATTCACAACAGTGCGAGTATACCCTAAAGAGATCAAACTCATAAATGATGTGAATGTTTCCAGTTTACACGGTTTGACCAAAAACAACATGACTTTAGAGGGTAGCAAACTACCTGATCCTCGCTTCCACATTCCTAAGTGATTTTGCCCACATATCAACCCACTTTAATTGTTAAACAGCAACAAAACTTTCAGTGAAAATTCATCCATTTCAACCAGGATCACACCAGAAAACTGAAGGTATTTTTTTTGCCTTTTTTTGTTAAACAAACAAGCCAAAACAGATTAACAGCAAAGAGTTTTTAAAAATTTACATTTCTCTTACAAACTGTTATTCAGAGAACAATAACGTTGAAGTCTGTTAAATCTTGGCATAAACAGAGAAACTTGATGAACAGGTTGTACGTGGAATAGCGTGGAATTTTTTTGACCTCCCTCTACTGTTTGCCAACAGTCATTTGAGTTTGCATGGACATCCCCACAGCTGAGGTGTAAACACTGTGTAGGAAGGAATATATGATAAGATGATGTATCACAGGCATTACACTAGGACCTTCACAACTCCATGCACTCAGAAACATGCATGAAGAGGAGGAGAGGACGGCCTGGGTCACCAGCCAGGTGCCTTGAGGACAGAGAGTGCAGAAGTGGCACTGCTGACATTTAGCTGAAAGGAGAAAGGGAGGAAGAAGAAATAAATTATACTGTTTTACAAAAGATCGTCAAATTGCTTTGCCAAAGGTGAGACTAAGCAACGATTTTATAACTCAGCTAAATAATAACTTGAAAATACCATGTGTGAGATCCTTGCTTGCAATCATTAAAAGATAAAATACACAATGCTAAACAGAAACAATATTAAAATAGGAAATCAGTATTATTTATCTGTCAATTCCTTCACACAGAGCTAAGCTAAAAATAAAGAGACAGGGACCCAAGCTTCAATCACATTATTAAATCTAGATACAGTCGTCCCTTGGTATCCATGGGGGATTGGTTTTCAAAGCCCCACAGATATCAAAATCCACTGATGCTCAAGTCCCTTGGTCGGTCCTTTGTATCTGCGGACGTGGAACCCGCGGATAGACAGGGCTGCCTGTATACATTTTAAGCACTCATGTTTAACTGGACAAATTAATAAATGAATATTATCATTCAAATGAAATAGTCTAAAAGTTTAAGTTCATCCTTAGCTTTTGTCATTATTAGACTCCTTGGGAAATCAAACCTAGAAGTCAATTTAACTAGGATTATAGCGTGAAAAGTAGGGAAAACGTGATTATTCTTATTTAACTGGAGATCTTGTTTCTTTAAACCAACAGCTGGGAGCACTATTTCTTAAAAGCTCTGACCAAGGTTCAGTGTTTTGAATGGGGAAAATATTCACAGCAGTTCCACACACATCTGAATCCTTCTAATCCAAGCTAAGAAACAAATCTTAAAAAACAACACAGGCATGAATTTAATTACAGCCAACTTTCAATTATCCTCTGGAATTACCCACTTTGTGAGTTTTAAATTTCAGCTTGACTTCTTCTGTGGCCTGTCCTCACGGTCAAATACCATTATACTCAGTCAGCCATGGCAAATTGATTTCCATATTAACCTTTGCCTGTGTGGCACAGGATTGCAACCTCTTGAAAAACAGTAAGACACCAAAGGATCCCAGTGCTTGATACAAATTAGGTTTGGATAATTGAGAGTTGTCTGAATTGACCCAGATATAATTGACTTTTGATGGGAGAACTCCAGGATATTCTAAAATGCCACAGTTCACACGCTGAAGCTAGGCTCTTCTCAGCAATTATTACCTTTAAAATGAGGGTTATGCTTCAAAATGGTGCCAAACATTAGACTCAAGAGCTCATGCAAAAATGCTATGAATTTTCAAAGACCTTTTATGGTTTTCATTGAGAATAATGCAAGAGAAAATATCCTCAAAGGGAAGAAAAACAGCCATGCAGCTTTCTATTAATTAGCTCCAATCACAAAGTATCACGGAGCAGGTTGTTACTTACAAGACCCATATGTGAATGATTTTCAGGCCTTAGATGTTTTGCCACAAAGAGGTGCTTCCTGAGAGGTTGTCTTTCCCATTTGGAATACAGGGGGGCCTATTAAGAGAAGCCCCATTTAAGCCACTTGGCATAAAATGAAGTTTTCTTAAATAGGCTCTATCCCATAAATGCTTCAGGGAATTGTAGAAAAACCTAACCATCTAGTACTGTATGAGTGCAATCCCTTCCATGTTAACTGGCAATTTGTGCTATACCTCTTTGGGGTAAAAAACACACAAACATACAAAAATAGGTGTCTTCAATATCATTATATTCCTTTTGTCTTTCTCTTAATTACGCAGCTATTGTTTTTAGAATGAATTTCAACTTGTCTTGTTTTTTTGCCTGTTGACCCACTTTTTACAAATCCAACAGTGATATATAATTATTAAGGCTATAAAGAAGGCCTTTGAAAACCACTGTCGTACGTTATTAAACTAAGAAACTTTGAAGAATTCTCTGTAGTGAGTTGAATGGCTGTTTGTATGAACTTGACTCCCCATCCCCTGCCCCCAAATATTAACAGGTGATCCTGGTGAGAGACTGTGGAATCTCCGAGATTCCAGATCTCTGAGATCAGCAGTGGGCCAAACTTCTCCTGAGTCTAAACTCTCTTTCTTGATTTCAACTCACCCCACTGTACGGAGGCAACCTTATTTCCCATTATTCCCCTTTACCCCAGTTGGAGCCAGCCTTCCTTACCCATAATCCTCTACCATGTGAAGCTAACGTCCTGACATTGTGCTTTTCCTCATGAGGTTCCTTGAGCTTGGACTATCTTCTCATTGTTCTTTGTCTCCAAATTCTACTCATCATTAAGGCCTTGTCTAAAATTCTATCTTCTATAGAAAGTATACTTTCAAACTGTGCTAAACAGTTTGCTGCATTGGTCATTCATTCCATTCTACTCTGAAGCTGATTATGAACTTTGTTATATAGTTTTTTCTTTGGTATTGGGGAAAAGTTACTTTCTAAACTAGAATATAAGTTCCTTGGGGGAATGTCTTTTACCTTGAATTTTATCTGGTGCAAGTTAAGCACCTAGAAGATGTGCAGTACTATTTGTCTAGTTATTGATTGGAGGAGCAAACACAACCTCTGAGGTAGAGTGGTGCAGTGAGAAAGATACTGAGATACCTCATACTTGCTTTTTAGATGCTGTATTTTATAAACTTCTCCTAATATCTGTAACTGAGCCCCAGTAGATAACCTATGAAATGAAGCCCCTGATATTATATTGGCCATTTTGGAAACTCCTCTCACATCCCCTTCCTCTGTCAATAAAGTCACAAATAATTTGCCTTATTACATGAATTCCCTCTGATTTAACCCTAAGAAATCAGCCTGATAAGGTATCCTCCTACCTAAAACTATTGTGTACTGCCCCAGGGCAAGTTTCAACCCACAAATGGCTGATCGGATTGATCTTTCCAGAGAATTATAGACTGTTTCTCATGGAACATTTCTTCCCACCAATGTAACTGAACACTAGCATTAAATAACTATGCCATGCTATTAACAATGGAATAAGTAAAAGACGCTGACCATGGGTATATTAACAAAGAAGCTGACAGCCTGGGAATATTTACTTGATGGGTACTGTTGGTGACCCCGAGCGATGAAAATGAACATTCTGCCACTTTCCATCCCGGCGGTGCCACACACGTGTCTCTTCTGACTGCATTGTCTTGGGCATTCCGCTGCCATCCATGTACTGTGTGAGCCTAATGTATGCTATGCAGGCAGCATCATCGCCTACCAGATGTACATGGGGGTTCAGGATAATAGTGTGGATTGGTTTATTGCTTTTGGACAAAGCTGAAAGAGAACAACATGAATAACAGAATTTAGTTTCCATGTAAAGTCAACCAAAACCAGTAATAACTTCAGTTGGGACCAATGAATGGAATGCTATTCATTCAACTACTAATTATTTGCACTAATCGAGTGTCTGGCACTGTGCAAAGTATAAAGGAAAAGAGAGCAAAAGTAGATAGTCATTATTTTCTTTGATTCCCTTTGCAGACAATTCGAAAACTTATGGGGAAAAAGCTAGAGAGATGTATTTATTTGTAATGGGAAGTGGTTAGAAACAGAAGCCATGATGTGAATAGAGATGGAGAATGCCTGGCCCAGGTGCACAGAGCAGTTCCTATGTTTCCAGTGAACAAACCACTGGGGCAGTTGACAGGATATCCTGTGGTCTTGTTCATTTTTGTTAGTTGGTGAAGTTCATGGGACAAGGGAAATATATCAAGTATCAAGCATGGAGATTGCTGTCTCCAAAAAAAAGGCTAGCCATGGCATGAATTTGTTTCCCCATCTCATTCTGTGACTCCTTTACTTAGCAGAGTCCATTCCATGATAGTCCAGTTGTAGTTATCCAGTAAAATCCAAAACTTGGTGTTAGCATATGGCCTGATCTTCTAGTTCTTTCCTTTGATTGAGCAGCCCTCACTAGGCCTCAGCCTTTGGTGTTTTGACAATAGCTACTCATTCTAATTATTCAATGACTAAGAGATGTGAAGAGTTAGTTCAAATGATTGATCGATGATGATACTCTCTTAGATCACTAAAACAGGTTGAACTGTTTTACCTGTTATCCAAACATGCTTCCTTTTCTCAGAAAAGATCTGCATAAATTACTCAGTGTGAGTCAGATAAAAACCATACCTCATTATGAAGAACACGTATTTATGGAAAGTAATGATGTACAATGTTGAAGTAAGTTAAAATATTAATGGGTTAATTAATTCTTTTACTAGAGATGAGGGTGTCAATTGAGAGTCAAATGAAGGAAACACTATGAAATGCTGTCAATCAGGGTGCTGGAATACAGAGAATATGTGAACATTTACTGAAGTTTTGTTAAGGCCAATTTACCACATAATTATCTTTGTTTGCTTGCAAATGCTTAGTGCATCTAATAAAAAGTAATTCATTAAATATATCTTAACTTAAAAATCCATGCCAAGGACGATATTCTTGTCAATGCTTATAATTACTGGAAGCGAGCTTGATAATGCTAATCATTACTGCAATTCCTCTTTAATTCATCAAGATCTCACGGCAAAAGGGTGAATGCCCTCTACGCACCTACGACTTCAGGTGTACGGTAAAGGAGAAGGATAAAAGGAACTTCAGATTTATACTTTTCTTGATGACCTGAAGGATTTCTGTTAGAGTTTTTGTCACTTTCTCTGCAATATGGCTGTTACTTCTATGACAACTAAAATTCTTGCAATCTGAACTGAAATATTTGATCACTCATCTTCAGTTACATTTTACTTTGAAAATGAGCACTACATATGCCTGAAAGCACTCCTCTATGTCAAATATTCTGGCATGCTGGGGTTTGTTTTATTTTTTCATATGTAAACAACGTTTTATGAAAATTTGAAATTAGCATTTTTTTGGTAACTCATTTTGCAGCTTATATCATATATTTAACTTATATGGGGTGTATTCAATCAACATTACTTTTTAGATAAAATCAGATATTTTTCGAAACACACCAAAACTTTTAAGCCTGTCATGATTTTTTTTTTATTTCAAATACAAAAAATTTTTATTATCTAAAATGCTGGACTAAGGTAAAGTTTCTCATTGCAAAAGAGAGCCAAAGAATCTGCAAATTTGGGAGAAATTCAAAGAGAAGTTGGAAAACGCATGTTATTAAATTTAGAATAAATGTACCATTTTCAAAGTAGAATCGATGAAAGTCCATCCCTTCCACTAAATTACCCAAAGCTTCAGGTTCAAAAGCAGTAAGGCCTGGGTCACAGATTTTTCTGTAGGAAAAAAAATAATGAAAATAACCAATACATAAGTTAATGTATTTTGTTGTTTCACACATATCCATTCTTATTTATCAAACAGTCAGTGAAGGAAAGAGTCTCTAAAAAGACCCCTAAAAATATAAAATTTCTATCACAGGCCTTGGCAGGGTGGGTTGAGGAACAGACCCTAAAAGAGCATTTTGCAGAGAACTCTGATAAGTCAAGACGATACAATCAGTTCCAGCAGATGAGAACCTACAATACTTTAGGAGTCTCCTTTTTAAAATTTCTACTTTTTTAATTCCAAGGTGAATTCTCTAAGCTTTCCCCAGTTTTTCTAACTCTCGACTTAAGTTTATTATTTTTTAAATGTTCTCCAAATCCTATAAAAGCAACTTTGGCTCTGAAATTAAATACTTTTGGAATAATTTGTGACACCTTCTACATGCATGTCAAACATCTATATTATGATTGATTTGATGGCAGGTGTCACATCCTCTACTTCCTGGCAATGTCTACAAGACTTAAGCTTGTGTTGAAAGTTTATTTAACTTTTAAAATAAAATTAATGAGAGGTTCAAATGCACATATTAGTTTTCTTTTTAATCCTAGAAATATAATTCAACAAAGAGATACACCATTTTAAATATTCAGAGAAAGCCAATGGGCTTTCTTTGGAGAAACTTACTTATTCCACAAAGAACTGTTAAACATCTACTATGTAGCAGATATTCTTTGAAACAAATGATTATAACACAACAATTAATATTAGAATAGAAATAAATACAAAGTGCTCAGAAACCAGATTACTTATACCTGGGACAGGAAAGATTTGAGAAAGAAAATTTGAGCTGGGCTTTTAGGAATGCCTAGGAGTTTTCCAGGTGTGTGGCATGTGGTAGGCAGGAGTAGCGCAGCAAGTATAAATGGCACAGTACTGTGAAAATGCAGAGTATGCGGGGGAATGAGGGTCAGCTGTTTGATACGGTGAGCGCTGGGGCACCGGGTATGTATATAAGTCCCATGGAAACATAGAGGGGGAAATATTTCCTTGGGCCTGCGGTGATCAGGGTAGGCTTCTCAGAGAAGGTGCTGTAATATCTGGATTTGAAGAATTTGCGGAAGTTCACAAAGGAGATAAAAGGAGTAAAAATTGAAGGATTTGGGACTGTTTATTAATTTGATGGGGCTATATCTAATTTTATATGGAAATTCCCCATTTGGGAGGGAAAACATTTTAACTGTTCAAAAGAAATACAAGTTTCAAGAGGCTAACTCACTATGGTTCTTGAAAGTACTGTTCATAGAATGTGGAACTGATGTTTTTTTAACAACACTTCTAAAATAGAATATACTTTTAAAATAAAAAAATCACAGTGGTTATTCTTTGTGGTAAAGAAAGCCTTAAAGGTGGGGGTGAGGAAGTGCGTGGGTAGGAATTTAACACTTTGCCTCAGACTTCCCAGTGGGCAGGTACTTTCAAGCTCAAAGTCAAATATATATAATCTTTCTAAGGAGCAAAATGGGAAGAACAGCATTCCTATGGCAACAGGAATTTATTTCACCAGGGGCTATTTCTTCTTCTATAAATACGACATTTGGTTGTCAACATTGGTAAATCGAAATTTTTTACTACGTTATATCAGATACTTTGACTTATATCAGGTGATTTTACTACCTTAAAATCACCCGAGAATCAATGTACTACGACGAATCTTTTTACCCAAGCATCAAGAGTCAGTATATCTGAAAATCTGTTAATCTGTCCTCCCTTTCCCTCTCTCCCTCTCTCCCCCTCCCGTCTCTGTCTCTCTCTCATATGTATGTATGTATGTATGTACTTATGTATGTATGTATGTATGTCTCTCCCTCTCTCTCTCCCTCCTCTAACAGGCTTGGGTTAATAAAACATTCACAACGCTGCCACTTGCCATTGTGTGTGTGTGCTCTGAACAGGTGCTCTAAGGACCAGCTGGCAGCTACACCAATACATTCGACCATCCCCAAAGCTCCCAAATGGAAGGGCCTGTTGGATTATCCCTCCGCCTGAGTGTACAAAAGGACGCCAGATTACAAGCCTCCGTAGGCAAAGGAATTAGTGAATTGATGTGATTCCAAGGAACTGCGTTATTTAAAATACCCTACTTTAAATTGTCTGAGAATATAGGAAATACTATATCTTCCCACTTTTGCCTGGCTACCACCACCAGAAAAACACACTTTTTACCATTGCACAGGGGGATGCTGTTGCAAAAGGAGATTTTTTTTAAAAAGAGTGTTCTTATGTTTGGAGACTCATACGGGTCTAACAAAGTTATATCAGCAAAAGGAACAAAAGAGAACAGGTTCTCTGGCACAGAGTTCTAAATAGGAAAGTGTTCTCTCTGACAACAAAGAATGTTCTTTTAAACTCCATTTCTTACTATTTCTTTCATTCCAAGTATACTTTATTAGGTCAAGTTAAAGATCGACACACACAAATACATACAACTGTATATGCAGGTGTCTGTATATATTTGCACACACATTAATTTAGTTTATAAGAAGTAGTCTTAGATTTAATTTAGTTCTTATGTTCAGTTACTCTCTTCCATATTTTATTTTTTATTTTATTTTATTTTATTTTTTTTTAATTTTTCCCCCAAAGCCCCAGTAGATAGTTGTATGTCATAGTTGCACATCCTTCTAGTTGCTGTATGTGGGATGCAGCCTCAGCATGGCCGGAGAAGCGGTGCGTCGGTGCGCGCCTGGGATCCGAACCCGGGCCGCCAGCATCGGAGTGCACGCACTTAACCGCTAAGCCACAGGGCCGGCCCCCATATTTTATATTTAGCTGTCTATGTGTAACTGATGATAAAAGTAATACCTTCTTATTATATAAAACTTGGAAAGAAGCAGGAAAAAAATCTCACACATAACAATTTCATCTCCCCGAGGCAACGTCTTTTTATCCTTTTTAAAACCAACTTGGCATTAATGCTTTTTCTCATGCAGTTGTAATAATGATGTACACACACTTTTATATCCCACTTTATCTTCAGTGAATACCTCATGAGCACTTTGCCAGCTCACTAGAAAGTCTGCATGAATATCTACTGTACCAAATGCACCACAGATTACTTAGCAGTTACCTTAATGTTGGACATATAAGTTGTTTCCAATTTTTCACTATTATGAACATTGCTTCAATAAATATTTTTGTTCATCATTTTTGTCCACGTTTTAGATTCAAAATCCATGCCCATGTTAAATTTTTTTAAGTAGAATTACAGGACGAAAGTAATTTGAACCTTTATAAATGCTTTCTGGTATATACTAACTGTCCCCCTGACCCCTGCCACTGCCACCACCCTGAGTGTTGGCACCACTGAGACTCCATCCAGTGGTGGAGCACAGTCGCCGTCATCCTGCAGTCTTCGCCCCCCTCTGGCTGTCAGCAGCATTTTTATCCCTGCTGAGCTCATAGGCACGAAATGCTCTTGCCTTCACATTTGCATGCACTGAATTAGTGGGCATGAACATGCGTTTATTAGTTTACTTGTCATTTTTATTTCCTCTTTTGCTAATAGTTCAAGTCCTTTACCTAGTCTTCTGCTTTCCAATCTTATCCACTCAATATAAATGGACTTTTGACACGTTTCACAAATAATTTTCCATTTATTGTTTGTCTCAGTTTTGTTTCGGGTTTTTTTTTTTTTGTGAGGAAGATCAGCCCTGAGCTAACATCCATGCCAATCCTCCTCCTTTGTTTCGCCGAGGAAGGCTGGCCCTGAGCTAACAGCCGTGCCCATCTTCCTCCACTTTATGTGGGACGCCGGCCCAGCAGGGCCTGACAAGTGGTGCGTGGGTGCGCGCCCGGGACCAAACCGGCGAATGCTGGGCCGCTGCAAGGGAGTGCGTGCGCCCAACCTCTTGTGCCACCGGGCCGGCCCTGTTTTGGCTTTTTAAAAATAAAAGTATACAAGTTTTATCCACTTAGGTAGCCTAATCATTTTATCTTCTCATTTGTGATTACTTCCCCCGCTTTTAAACTTAGAAAGATCTTTCCAACCAGAGGTCAGATTCCATCTCTTCTTTGCATTTAATGCTTTCATTCAAGAGGAACTCACTTGCAAGGCTAAGGGGAAGGCTGAGGCTCATTTTTATCTCCACCCAAAGAGCTAACTTACTGACCCACATGCTTTGTGAAATAAGTCTTCATGCCTTACTTATCTGAGTGCTTTATTTTTATTCGATCGAAGTGATTTCCTTTATATATCTATCATCCAGTAGTTTGTAAACTTTAAATTTAGCTTTAGAACCCTTCCTTCAATTAAAATTTTACCCAAGAGACAAACTCATGAAAGAGATGAAGACTAAGTTGAGCTCTGCTGGCTGAAGAGGGGAAGGCTGCCTCACGCCAGCTCCTCATCTCTTTTCTGTCCCCACACCTCTGCAGCACTCAGAGGAGAAACACTTCTTAAGCCAAAATGCACTTTTTATGTGCTTTCTGGTTTCTTGTGTCTTTCCGCTCAGGGACTGCTCTGCCTGGCATGCCTTCTCTCACATGGAGGTGTGGGCGGTTACACTTCCGCGGGTGGACAGAGAAATCCCCGGTCCTCCTATCGCAAGTCTTTTGTCTTTTCTCTCTGAAGTCTCAGATACATTTATTTCTCTCCTGGGGGCACGTAAGTCATTATACTTTGAAATAAAGCTATTGTTGACATACTAAACCTGGGGTTAAATATACACGAATTCAGGGACACTGAAGAACGCCTTCATATAGAAAATACTTGCCATTTGCATGAAAGCAAAATAAATGTGCCTCGACTCACGTGTAAGCTTCAAAGTCCCCGTTGTTGATGGCTTCGATCAGCTGCTCAGTGACTTTGATAATCTCTTGCTTTCGTGCTAAAGGCAAAGATATAGAGTTGGGTGAGAATAAAGGACAAAAGCCATATAAAATACTACTCATAATTGCTATTTTCCTCAAACAAGGTATTACCATTTAAGACTTCCCTCACAAAAGTGTAGTGTTCTTCTCTCCACAATCTCGCTGCTCAAAGCACACAGACCAACATTATCTGCCTCCTCTGGGAGCCCGTCAGAAACAGACTCTCCAGCCCTTCTCCAGACCGACAGATTGAGAATCTGCATTTTCACAGGATCCTCACATGATTCCTGAGCACGTTCAGTCCGGGAAGCATAGCTACATTCCACTGCTTAGAAGACCACAGTTGCCTGGAAGGTCAGGGCTTCGTTTTTTAAATTAGTTCCTATTACCTTTACCAACATGACTGAGTTTGTGAACATTTTTCTCTTAACCATTAACAAAAGTGTTATTAAAAAAGTTAATCTCAAAAAGTATCACTCTACTAATATAAGTGTATCTTCAGAGTATAGATGATATCTTGCATTGAGACATTTAACTTTATTTGCATTTTTATACTGTTCAGGTCAACCAACTCTACAAAAGCAGACGCCAACACTGTAATTGCCATCATATTTAGATAAATGGCCTTCAGTAAACTCTGTAAATTGGAAAAGCAACGTATGAATCAATACTGTGGATGTAGGCAGATAATCAGATGGAAGCCCCCTATACACGTGTATAGTGTCAACTCTAACACCAAACATGATTTGTTTCTATTCCTAGCCCACAATTGGTAAAAATATTAATAGCTGGCTTGGTTCAAATCCCACCTATTCCGTAAATTCTTTTCTGATTACATCTCCCTCAAGTGTTCTTTCCTTTTTTTGAATGCCTATAGTGTATCAGTCACTTGGCAATTAAGCATACCATGACAACTTCTTTAAGTTAAATCAAATTATTACTTGTTTTAAATTGTTATAAAACTTTGTTCACTTTAATCTTCCCAGTTAAATTAAAAGCTCTTTGTGGGCAAAGAACATGTTATTTCTTGGTATCATTTAAAAAGCTTTATCCAATGTTTTTAATGAAATAGATGCTCAGTAAGTTTGTGAATTTGATCAACTGATATTAGTGATAACCTTTTCTTGATTTCAGAACACTATTCTCTTACTAATGAAATTAATGCATGAAATATTTAAAAAATTAAATTTCACTGAATTTTGTTTTGAGAACATTGTGATACTTCCTTAAATGACTGGAAATAAATTGGGGGAATCATAAAAAGTTACTTCCATTCTAAGTGACTCAGTGAGACTGCTATTAATCACAGAAAAAGCTGAAGTCTGGTATTAGGTTGTTATTGATTAAAGGCACAAGTTTGCTTTTTTTTTTTTTTTTTGGTGAGGAAGATTAGCCTCATCTGTTGCCAATCCACCTCTTTTTGCTGAGGAAGATTGGCCCTGGGCTAACATCTGTGCCCATCTTCCTCTAGTTTATATGTGGGATGCCTACCACAGCATGGCTTGATAAGCCGTGCGTAGGTCCTCGCCGAGGATCCGAACCTGCGAACCCCGGTCCTCCGAAGTGGAGCTCACGAACTTAACCACTACACCACTGGGCCGGCCCCAGTTTGCATTTTTAATGAACCTGATCTTCATTAAACAGGTTTTAACCACAAACTTAAATGTTTACATTCACTTTCAAAACTTCAGGTTATAATATTCCTTATTTAAAATAAATGTTCTGTAAACCTAACGACTTCATTGAGACTATATGAGACTACCTTATGATTTGTGCATAAAACGGTTGTGAACAATGTCAAGTTCGACAATATAAAAAAATCACCATCCAGAATAGATTTCATAGTTACATAATTAACTATCATTTATATTAGGAAAAAAACCCACAACAGGGTTTGTCAGCTCCTACACACATCTAAAACAGTTCTTGCCCTTGTTCATTTGACTGATGAATATCCATAATGTACCCAACATCAAAACATATTGACAGAAGTAGTGCCGGGGAATAATTCTGTAATGGGGATGCTGCTGGTGGCACATTTTAGCTTAATTTAGTTAGGCAATAAGTGATTCATCTGTCTGTGCCCTCCACAGCATGAACACTTGGCAAAAACGCATGACAGCTGACCCAATTCTGGAAAATAAAGCACACTGGTGCTAAGGTGGTCAGAAAGTGAGATTAGGAAAATGTGACTACCAAAGCTTCCTCGTCCTGTTAAATTCTCGTTTGAAACTCATAGATTTCTTGGTATGCTATATGGCTAAAAGGAGAAAACTAAAGTTTAGAAAACAATGTCAATTTTTTAAAACTAACGAAGAAGGAAGAAATGAACATAAGGTCAGTGTGCTTTGTAGAGCTTCAGTGGGCTAAGACTCGGTTTATGGAATCGTGTGGAAAGTTCGGGGTCACTTTCTGAAGTTTCTGAAAGTCTCTGCCTTCCCTCATAAGCACCAAATGGAATTAGCAACATCGAGTGTATATGGCCATCTCTGTCTCTGAGCCACTGTGGAAATACTCTTTAGATCTTCAACAGTTTACATGTTACAACTGGCTTAATTTTTGTCCTGCATAATCAAAGCAACACAAATTGCCTTCTCTCTCAGTTCTTACGCTCAGAAACCCTGGTGCTTTAGCTGGCAGGACAGCAGATGGGAATCAGCCAGGATGCTTCTGTGCTGCATCATCATAAAACCAACGTGACTATCTTGGCTCAGGAGGTGCCTGGAACTCGGGAATCTTTAGAGCTTATTGCCCTTCGGCAAAGAAGCTTGAGTGAGTCACGGGCAACACAAGACAGCTGACTCTCTGAAGGAAAACAGTCAGCTGGAAGTGAATCATTTGTATATAGTAGTCTATTGTGGTTGGAACTGTTGCCACAGTGACCTAGAGAAAGAGGGAGGGTTTGGTGCTAGCTAGCTCTGCTCTCGTCAGCAGGAGGTTAAGGGACAATCACCGCTAGGTGCCTGGATGCCCATGTTCTGTGCAGAGCCACCACTCTCATGTGGCCTTCCCTCTTCCTGAAGATCAAGTAACGGCCACTCCAGAGTCGAAGTGGGGAGAGCTTGTGATGTCACTAACCTAAGGTGAGGGAAGAGTGGACTGGTAAAGCATTCCCTGAATACCAGAAGCTTCTTCCACCTCAGAGCTAGCCATTTAACCATGGGGAACCGATTACCAAGTAGTTTTATTTATTTATAGTTTTATTTATAGAATCGAGGTGCTCAAGCCTATCCCCAAAGTAGCTTCTGGGGATTTCCAGATTCCAAGAGGAAAGGCAGGAGACAGAAGCAAGTGGGAGGGATGCCCCAGATTTCTACTTCCCACGTAATTATGCAAAAGAACTGGGAACACTGTCATGTTCAAATTCATATCTTTTGGCTCTTTTATTGTTCTAAAGAGGCCTGGAAGAGTAAGATAACAGTGTGAATGGTCCCAGTGTTTAAAAAAAAAAAAAAAAAAAACCCCTGGGAACTGAGAGTAATTATGTAATAAAATAATCGAGAGCTTTCAACTTCTGGCAAGCATTATCAGATCTGAGCATCACAACACTGCTCTGAGATGCACAGAAAACATTCTCTCTCTGGTTAACAGATAAGTTACTACAGGCACTGCCCAAAGCTACAGAGTTTGCTGGTTACTCCTTCCCTCCACCTTGAAACTCTCCCCTCCTTTCACTTCTTTCCTGCTTTTCTTACCAATCCTCTAATCACATGATCTCACTCTCATTGCCATGTGCTCTTTCTCAGCCAGGACTTCAAATGTTTCAATTCCCTTTAGAGGCTCAGTTTGAGGCCCTCTTCTCATCAAGCACCATATCCCTATGGTCCTGTCTATACCAGTGTTTTAAATTGCCACCTATATCCCAATGATTACCAAATTGTTACCTCTTTTCTAGACCTTTCCTCCAGATCTGTGTGTCAATGCCTATTTTGAAATCTCCATTTGGATATCACAAATGCATCTTGAACTCAACATACCCTAAACTGAGCTTATGAGCTTCCACCACCACAAGCCTATTTGCTGTTCCAGGAATCTCCTGGCAAATGGTAATATCATCCAGCCAGTTGCAGGAGAAAGAAGCTTGAGAGTCATCTCTGACTCCCTCATCCCACTCCTCCCACACAATCTTTCCAGTCCTGTTGACTACGCCTTTTAAATGTCTTACACGTTAGTCAACTTCTTTCCTTCCCCACCATCACTCTGGAGCAAGCACCCATCATTTCTTGTCCAGATTAAGTATCTGAAGAGAGACGGTGAAACCTTGCATCATCTGGACCCTCCCCATCTCACCAGACCCATTCAAAGGCCCTTTTACTTTCTTCTCTCCACCCCACCCATAGTGTCTTCTCTCAGGATTAATGGTCATGCTTCCTCCTGTTGCCAGCCCTTCACATAAGCTCTCCTCTCTTCTTGGAAAACTGTGCCCCGTCTTGGCCTTCATTTCTTTTACCAGATCTCAACTCAATTATTACTTCTTCAAAAAAGCCTCCCCTGACCCTCATTTTAGGAGTGGTCCCTGCATCATAAATTCACACATCTCCTACACCTGCTGTTTGAAAGCACTTAGTACAACTGTATTTACATATTTATTTGTATGTATTCGATTAACCAGTTTTTTCTATTACTTTGTAAGCTCCACAAGGGGAGGTACCTCACCATCGTAAGCCAGCATCTAGCATGGCATACAGTAAATATGTGACAAATAGTTGAATGAAAAGTGGGTCCAGAACAAACTCAAGTGCTTTCCGACTCCCAATCCAGTGGCCTTTCCAACACGATACCACATTTTTCGGTGATGGTCAGATAGCCTTCTAAAAATTTGCACTGATAAATGGAAACAAGTATAAAGCAGCATGTCTTATTGTTTATTGACAATGGAAGAAAATACTTTTCAACTTATCTTCAACTGACCGTCAAATTCCTCTCTCTTCCTGACTTCATTTTTCTAATGGAACCACAATTTTACCAGTTTCCTAGCTCTAAACCTTGGGTTTCTTCTGGACTCTACTTTCTCCTT